TGCCAAACAAAATCACAATAAACAATCAATTTGAGAAACAGCAAAACATCAGAATAGACAAATCAACCCAACTTGGAGCAATGCCAAGGTTTTACCCCAGAGGCCCAAGAGCATTGGAAAATTGGCATCAGTTGTAACTTATTAACAGCAGCGGTAATATCTATTTCAAATGTTTTTTATCCTGCCATTGCTTTTATGATCATATGCAGTAAATCAATAGAATGAATAGGCTTTAAGTTCTGCCAAGAAAACCTTTCTTATTCACTTTGGTAACAATAAGCAAGAGAAATACCCACTAAGCACACTACATCCATACTAATCCAGCCTTTGGCCTGCTGGGTGAAATGATGGTAGTTGTAGTCCACCGTCACCGGAAGAGTGCCAGATTGGAGACGTTTGCATAATCATCTGTGTTTTATGATCTGTTTACCTGCTTCGTCTTTCTGGCACTGTGCTGAATCAAAGTGCATCAGGATTTCACTTGTGATTCAAACTGAGCTTCAGATGCTTGAATTCTCCATTATCGTTGTCAGGTGTATTGTCAATGTGCCAGTTTGCTAGAGATTGAAGCTTGAGATAATCCAAGCGATTAATGAAGGGGTGGAAATGGAACAGAACAGTTTCGTGCTTCTCCCCAAAGCTGTTCTGGGGTGCATTTGCAGGCACGTGTCTGTCCCATTAACTCAGTGGACGCTGGCCATTAACTTCTTCATAATACCAAGAATGACCTTGACAACTAGGCAACATATATACTATCTGCCTTGTGCCTTTGGAGTAATTCAAAAGGAATGATTTGTTTTAAACTGTTTCCTCTATTTGCAGTTGACACACTTGACCTCTAGTTTGTTGATTTCCCAGCAGTTAAACCAGGGATCTCAGAACTCTTTCCAAGGATGATCTCTGTTATCGAGCCACAGTAAATCTGCCCCCCTTGGGAGAATTTATAGTTCATCAAGAGCACCGAAATAAATATATGATTTCTTCCTTTTCTTTTTTATTAAAAGCCTTTTCTGAAGGTTTGGAACTAGGCAAAGTTCAAGATCATCGAGAATGAAACAGTAGTAGCTGTAACTCCCTAAAACTGTATTGCATCTATTTTATGGTTGTTGTAGGTTTTTTTGGGCTATATGGCCATGTTCTAAAGGCATTTTCTCCTGACGTTTCACCTGCTTCTATGGCAAGCATCCTCAGAGGTAGTGAGGTCTGTTGGAACTAGAAAAAAGGGTTTATATATCTGTGGAATGACCAGGGTGGGAGAAAGGACTCTTGTCTGTTGGAGCTAGGTGTGAATGTTTCAACTGATCACCTTGATTAGCATTTGATTGCCTGGCAGTGCCTGGAGCAATCTTTTGTTGAGAGGTGATTAGATGTCCTTGTTTGTTTCCTCTCTGTTGTTGTGCTGTTCTTATTTTAGAGTTTTTTAAATACTGGTAGCTAAATTTTGTTCATTTTCGTGGTTTCCTCCTTTTCGTTGAAATTGTCCACATGCTTGTGGATTTCAATGGCTTCTCTGTGTAGTCTGACATGTTGGTTGTTGGAGAAGCCATTGAAATCCAGCTGTCCCCTGCCACGCATTGATGTGGCCCAGTCTGTTGATCTTGAAAATAAAGTAATGAGAAAGTGGTGGTTTCTAATATATGTAATTTCTTTATGCTTGTGGGTAAACAATATTTCTTGCTGTTTCTTTGTTAGTGTTGATGTGGAGAGTGTCTGGTTTGCCCATCCTGGAACATGCAACATATCATTGTCCTTCTTTAAGGGTCCCTTTGAAATCTATGATACTATATCTATGTGTGTGTGAATCATATCTATCTATCTGTCTATCTATCATATTGTTCATATCATGTGTTCATATTTGGGTGTATTGAGTGCTTGTACCAAGTTTGATCCAGATCCATCATTGTTTGATCCACAGTGCTCTCTGGATGCAGGTGAACTACAACTCCAAAACCCAAGGCCAATGCCCACCAAACCCTTCCAGTATTTGGTCACACAAGTTCTGCATGCCAAGTTTGGTTCAATTCCATTGTTTATGGAGTTCAGAATGCTCTCTGATTGTGGGTTAACTCCCAAACTCAAGGTCAATGGCCACCAAAGGTCAATGCCCACCAAACCCTTTCTGTTGGTCAAGGGAGTTCTGTGTGCCATGTTTGGTTCAATTCCATCATTGATGGAGTTCAGAATGCTCTTTGATTGTAGGTGAACTATAAATCCCAGCAACTACAACTCCCAAATGACAAAATCATAATTTTTTGAGTGATGGTCACTCCTTGGATTGTGAAACATTTTGTTGCCAAATTTGGTGTGATTTTGTTCATTGGTTCTTTTGTTTTTAAGGTACTCATCATGCACAGAGCATTTTTATATAGATAGATAGATTGTTCTTTCATGGTTTTCTTGCATTGCACTACAAAACAAGTGCAGTGTGCTGAGGAATGCATTCCAATTTTTTTCAAGATGGAACCCAGCAGTCTGATTTGACCCTTGGTTCAGAAGGTTTGAGGACCCCTGCTTTCAAGAGTGGACACCCCACTTTAAATCCTAAGGCTGCCTCTTGCAGACTCCTGGGGTTTGCTGGTATATTTATCGTGTCATCAGCAACCATTGTATTACAATTCTAACAGAGCAAAACAAACACAGAGATTAAAAAGAAAAAGGAAAAAAAACACAGATTTTGCAAATTTGGTATTTGGTTAAATGTCCTTTGACCAGTATCTGGCCACTTGGAGTGCCTCTGGGGTTGCCGCAAGAAGGTCCTCCATTGTGCATGTAGCAGGGCTCAGGGTGCATTGCAGCAGGTGGTCAGTGGTTTGTTCTTCTCCGCACTCGCATGCCGAGGATTCCACCCTGTAGCCCCATTTCTTAAGATTGGCTCTGCATCTCGTGGTGCCAGAGCGCAGTCTGTTCAGCGCCTTCCAAGTCGCCCAGTCTTCTGTGTGCCCAGGGGGGAGTCTCTCATCTGGTATCACCCATGAATTGATGTGCTGGGTTTGGGCCTGCCACTTTTGGACTCTCGCTTGCTGGGGTGTTCCAGCGAGTGTCTCTGTAGATCTAAGAAAACTATTTCTTGATTTAAGTCTTTGACGTGCTGGCTGATACCCAAACAAGGGATGAGCTGGAGATGTCTCTGCCTTGGTCCTTTCACTATTGGCTGCTACTTCCCGGCGGATGTCAGGTGGTGCAATACCGGCTAAGCAGTGTAATTTCTCCAGTGGTGTGGGGCGCAGACACCCTGTTATAATGCGGCATGTCTCATTAAGAGCCACATCTACTGTTTTAGTGTGGTGAGATGTGTTCCACACTGGGCATGCATACTCAGCAGCAGAGTAGCATAGCACAAGGGCAGATGTCTTCACTGGGTCTGGTTGTGATCCCCAGGCTGTGCCAGTCAGCTTTCGTATGATATTGTTTCTAGCTCCCACTTTTTGCTTGATGTTCAGGCAGTGCTTCTTGTAGGTAAGAGCACGGTCCAGAGTGACTCCCAGGTATTTGGGTGTGCTGCAATGCTCCAGTGGGATTCCTTCCCAGGTAATCCTCAGAGCTCGGGATGCTTGTCTGTTCTTAAGGTGAAAGGCACATGTCTGTGTTTTAGATGGATTAGGGATCAGCTGGTTTTCCCTGTAATAGGCAGTAAGAGCACCTAGAGCTTCGGAGAGCTTCTGTTCTACCATCTCAAAGCTCCCTGCTTGAGCAGTAATGGCACGATCATCAGCATAGATGAAACTCTCTGTCCCTTCTGGCAGTGGCTGGTCATTTGTGTAGATGTTGAACATGGATGGAGCAAGCAAGCTCCCCTGAGGCAGGCCGTTCTTCTGTTTCCGCCATCTGCTTCTCTGGCCCTGGAACTCAACAAAAAAGCTCCTGTTTTGTAGCAGGTTTCCTATGAGGCGGGTGAGGTGGTAGTCCTTTGTGATATTATACATTTTTCTCAGGAGGAGGCGGTGGTTCACAGTATCATAAGCTGCTGACAGGTCTATGAAGACAGCTCCTGTGATCTGCTGCCTTTCAAAGCCATCTTCTATGTGCTGAGTCAGGTTCAGCACTTGCAATGTGCAGCTTTTGCCTTTTCTGAAGCCAGCTTGCTGTGGGATCAGATAGGGGTCTATATTTTCCATAATTCTATGCAAAATAAGTCTCTCCAGAACTTTGTAGAGGTGGCACAACAGGGAGATTGGTCTGTAGCTTTTTGGGTCATTGCGGTCTTTGCCTGGCTTCAAGATGGCGATGACTCTTGCTTTCCTCCAGATTTTGGGGATCTGACAGGATGCAGTGCAGTTGTTCATCAGCTCCAGTAGTCAGCACTTTGCTTTTGGGCCAAAGTTCTTGATTTGTTCCATCCATAGATCATCCAAGCCAGCTGCTTTGCCATTTTTACATTTATTGAGAGCTCCTCTTGGTGGGAACCTGGAAGTAGCTCCAGACCTAGGCCCCGCCTCTGGACGGGCAGTGGGCGTGGCCTCTCAGCCCTGAGCTATTAGGCCCCGCCTCTTGAAGGACTGTGGGTTGGCGCTCCAGCCTTAGGACCCGCCTCTGGAATGGCGGTGGGCGTGTCCTCCAAGCTGTAGGCCCCGCCTCTTGAAGGACTGTGGGAAAGCGTTCCAGCCTTAGGCTCCCCCTGTAGGCGAATGGTGAGCGTGGCCTCCCAAGCCGGAGCCTCTTGAAGGATAGTGGGCGTGTCCTCCAAGCCCACAGCCTTTTCAAGCGTCCTAAGCCTGAATCTGTAGGCCCCGCCTCTTGAAGGACTGTGAGAGTGGCGCTCCAGGCTTGAGATAGTGGTGGGCGTGTCCTCCAAGCCTTGAGCCCCTAGGCCCCGCCTCTTGAAGGACAGTGAGCGCGGCCTCCCCAGCTTGAGTCTGTAGGCCCCGCCTCTTGAAAGAGGGTGGGCGTGGCTTCCCAGCCTTAGGCCCCGCCTGTAGGCGGACGGTGGGCATGACATCCCATGCCTGAGTCTCTAGGCCCCGCCTCTGGGCGGACGGTGGGCGTGACTTCCCTGACTTATCCCCTCCCTCCAGCAGGAGTTCCGCACAGACGCTGCGGTCTGGCGGGAAGAAGAGAGCGGCTTCGTTCTCTCCCTCAGCTTCGGCGGGAAGACAGGCAGGCATTGCGGCTCCCGCTCGGAGGAAGAGGCCGCCGCGATGCCGCTCGCGCAGCTGGGAGCCGAGCCCTGGCCGGAGGGGAACATGGAGCTGGTGGACATGGAGCTGGACGAGGCCGAGGTAGGCAAGCACGGAGGGAGGGAAGAGGGGGCGCCGCGGACCCCCGGGAGCAAGGCCCCGCCAGGCCGGACCCTTCCCTCTCCTATCCCCCCTCCCTCCACCGTCATTAGAGTAACCCGACCCTCTGCATCGACCCTATCGATTCCTATCGTGTCCTTCCCTGTAAGAGCCCTGGCGTCCTCCTTGCCTGCCTACCTTCCTGGGTTTGGAAAGAGTTGAGCAACTGGAAAGCCTTGCCTGGCTCATTGAGAGGGGCAAGGAGCCCCCAGGTTATAAACAAGGGTTGTGCTTAAGTTGCATATGTACGTAAGTCGGAACAGGTACATTTCTTCAAGTGTAACTCCAGCTAAACATACACACACGCATATATCTCAGGCATGGGCCAACTTGAGCCCTTCAGGTGTTTTGGACTTCAAGTCCCACCATTCCTAACAGCCTCAGGCCCCTTCCTTTTCCCCCTCAGCCACTTAGGTGTAACTTAAGTGTAACTCCAGCTAAACACACACACACACATATATGTAGGGCATGGACCAACTTGGGGCCACCAAGTGTTTTGTACTTCAAGTCCCACCATTCCTAACAGCCTCAGACCCCATTCTTTTCCCCCTCAGCCACTTAAGTGTAACTCCAGCTAAACACACACACACACACATCGGGCATGTGCCAACTTTGGCCCTCCAAGTGTTTGGACTTCAACTCCCACCATTCCTAACAGCCTCAGACCCCATTCTTTTCCCCCTCAGCCACTTAAGTGTAACTCCAGCTAAACACACACACACATACATACACATATCGGGCATGTGCCAACTTTGTCCCTCCAAGTGTTTTGGACTTCAACTCCCACCATTCCTAACAGCCTCAGACCCCATTCTTTTCCCCCTCAGCCACTTAAGTGTAACTCCAGCTAAACACACACACACACACATCGGGCATGTGCCAACTTTGGCCCTCCAAGTGTTTTGGACTTCAACTCCCACCATTCCTAACAGCCTCAGACCCCATTCTTTTCCCCCTCAGCCACTTAAGTGTAACTCCAGCTAAACACACACACACACATACACATATCGGGCATGTGCCAACTTTGTCCCTCCAAGTGTTTGGACTTCAACTCCCACCATTCCTAACAGCCTCAGACCCCATTCTTTTCCCCCTCAGCCACTTAAGTGTAACTCCAGCTAAACACACACACACACATACACATATCGGGCATGTGCCAACTTTGGCCCTCCAAGTGTTTTGGACTTCAACTCCCACCATTCCTAACAGCCTCAGACCCCATTCTTTTCCCCCTCAGCCACTTAAGTGTAACTCCAGCTAAACACACACACACACATACACATATCGGGCATGTGCCAACTTTGTCCCTCCAAGTGTTTGGACTTCAACTCCCACCATTCCTAACAGCCTCAGACCCCATTCTTTTCCCCCTCAGCCACTTAAGTGTAACTCCAGCTAAACACACACACACACATACACATATCGGGCATGTGCCAACTTTGTCCCTCCAAGTGTTTTGGACTTCAACTCCCACCATTCCTAACAGCCTCAGACCCCATTCTTTTCCCCCTCAGCCACTTAAGTGTAACTCCAGCTAAACACACACACACACATACACATATCGGGCATGTGCCAACTTTGTCCCTCCAAGTGTTTGGACTTCAACTCCCACCATTCCTAACAGCCTCAGACCCCATTCTTTTCCCCCTCAGCCACTTAAGTGTAACTCCAGCTAAACACACACACACATACACATATCGGGCATGTGCCAACTTTGGCCCTCCAAGTGTTTGGACTTCAGCTCCCACCATTCCTAACAGCCTCAGACCCCATTCTTTTTCCCCTCAGCCACTTAAGTGTAACTCCAGCTAAACACACACACACACACACACACACACACACACACACATATCGGGCATGTGCCAACTTTGTCCCTCCAAGTGTTTGGACTTCAACTCCCACCATTCCTAACAGCCTCAGACCCCATTCTTTTTCCCCTCAGCCACTTAAGTGTAACTCCAGCTAAACACACACACACACACATATCGGGCATGTGCCAACTTTGGCCCTCCAAGTGTTTTGGACTTCAACTCCCACCATTCCTAACAGCCTCAGACCCCATTCTTTTCCCCCTCAGCCACTTAAGTGTAACTCCAGCTAAACACACACACACACACATATCGGGCATGTGCCAACTTTGGCCCTCTAAGTGTTTTGGACTTCAAGTCCCACCATTCCTAACAGCCTCAGGCCCCTTCCTTTTCCCCCTCAGCCACTTAGGTGTAACTCCAGCTAAACACACACACACAAATGTATCAGGCATGGGCCAACTTGAGCCCTTCAGGTGTTTTGGACTTCAAGTCCCACCATTCCTAACAGCCTCAGACCCCATTCTTTTCCCTCTCAGCCACTTAAGTGTAACTCCAGCTAAACATGCACACAGACATATACATATGCATGGGCCAACTTTGGCCCTCCAAGGGTTTTGGACTTCAACTCCCACCATTCCTAACAGCCTCAGGCCCTTTCCTTTTCCCTCTCAGCCACTTAAGTGGAACTCCAGCTAAACACACACACATATATATCTTGGGCATGGGCCAACTTTGGCCCTCCAAGTGTTTTGGAGAAAAAGGAAAAAAAAAAAGAAGAAAAAAAAGAAAATAAAAGAAAAAAAAAAAGAAAAAAGAGAGAAAAAAGAAGGAAAAAAGAAAAAAAAAAAAAAAGAAAGAAGAAAAAAAAAAGAAGAAAAAAGAAAAGGAGAAAAAAGGAGAAGAAAGAAAAAAAAGAAAAAAAATAAAAAGAAATAGAAAAAAAAAGAAAAAGAAAAAAAGGAAGAAAAGAAAAAAAAAGAGAAAAAGAGAAGGAAGGAAAAAAAAAAAAAAAAAAAAGGAGGAAAAAAAAAAAAAGAAAAAAAATATGAAAGAAATAGAAAAAAAGAATAAGGAAAGAAAAATAAATAAAAGGAAAAAAAAAAGAAGAAAAAAAAAAATGGAAAAAAATATGAAAAAAAAGGTAAGGAAAATAAATAAAATAAAATGAAATAAAAATGGAAAATTTAAAGTAGTTTTTAATTGAAATATTATAAAATTACAGCGAAAGAGGGTGAATATTTAAAAGAAGATAGAACAGTAGGAAATAATAATTAACTAGAGAAAAAAAGAGAGAGAGAAGAAAAAAAGAAGAGAAAAAAAAGTGAAGGAAGAAAAAGTGGAGGAAAAAATAACTGGAAAAAAGAAACAAAAAAAAATGAAAGAAAAAAAATAAAAAAAAAGAAAAATAATAAGAAAAAAAAAAATAAAAATTAGAAGAAAGATAGAAAGAAAAAAAAAAAAAAAAGAAAAAAAAATGAAAAAAGAAAAAAAAAAAAAAAAATGTAAAAAAGAAAAAAAAGAAAAACAAAAGAAAAAGATAGAAAGAAAATAAGAAGAAGAAAGAAAAGAAAACAAAAAAAAGGGAAAAAAAAGAAATAATAAAACTATATAGAAAAAATAGGAAAATAAAGAAAAAAAAAAAATAAATAAAAGAAAAAAAGAAAGAAAAGAAAAGAAAGGAAAAAAAAAGGAAAAGAAAGAAAAAAAAAAAAAAAAAAAAAGAAAAAAAAAGAAAAAAAAAAAGAAAGAAAGAAAAAAAGAAAGAAAGAAAAGAAAAGAGAAAAAAAAGAAAGAAGAGAAAGATGTAAGGAGAAAGCAAAACATTTTGGACTTAACTCCCACCATTCCTAACAGCCTCAAGCCCCTTCCTTTTCCCCCTCAGCCACTTAAGTGTAACTCCAGCTAAACACACACAAATACATCTATATAAATAAAAATGTAATGTTCGTTTGTGGTATTCACAGAACTCAAAAACCACTGGACGAATTGACACCAAATTTGGACATAATACATCTAACAACCCAATGTATGTCCTTCACTCATAAAAACACCGAAAAACAAAAAAAGCAATGAGAAAAGCTACATGACAATACAGAAAAAAAAGAGAAAGGAGAAAAGAAGAAGGAAGAAAGAGGGAGGGGAAAGAAAGAAGGAAAGGGAAGAAGGAAGAAAGGAGAAAGGAGAAAGAAAAAGGGAAGGAAGGAGAGACAGAAAGAAAAGGAAGGAAAGAGGGAGCAAAGGAAGGGGGGGAAGATGTAGAGAAAGAGGGAGGGAAGGAAAGAGAGAAGGAAGAAAAAAGAGACAACAGAAGAGAAAGAAAAAAAGGAAGGAAGAAGAGGAGGAAAGACAGGAAGGAAGGAAAGAGGGAGTGAAGGAAGGAGGGGAAAAAGGAGAGAAAGAGGGAAGGTTGGCCACAGCAACGTGTGGCAGGTACAGCTAGTGTGTGTGTGTGTGTGTGTGTATATATATATATATATATATATATATATATATATCTGGCATGGGCCAGCTTTGGCCCTCCAAGTGTTTTGGACTTCAACTCCCACCATTCCTAACAGCCTCAGGCCCCTTCCTTTTCCCCCTCAGCCATTTAAGTGTAACTCCAGCTAAACAAACAAACATACACACACACACACACTCTGAGGGGGAAAAGGAAGGTGCCTGAGGCTGTTAGGAATGGTGGGAGTTGAAGTCCAAAAACACCTGGTGGGCCCAAGTTGGCCCATGCCTGAGATATAGCCTTTGGTTGGCATAGGGAAGGGTGAACACTTCTGTGGTGTTTCCTTTACTCTTTCTGAAGAATTCACCCCACTTTCTGTCCCTGTTGGAATTGGATTTTGGAAAATCTTTTTATTGAAGGAAGGATTAGAGCGAAAGCTTCGGCAGAGACCCCCCCCCCATAACTCTTCCAAGAGGTGGATTTCCTTTCCTAGATGTAGATTTCTCTCACTTCCTGTTGTCTCACCCCCGTTCTTAACTAGGAGTAATTGTACATTGTGTTTGCAATTTGGGGGCTGTCTTTATTTGAATAAATGTGTTCTACAATGTATTTTAATATATATGCATTTGATTGTATGCATTTTATGGTGATGTGTTTTAACTGTCAAGCCATGAGATGAGGCACATAATAAA